GATTATATATGGATTAGTAGTACTCCATTTTCGGCCGGATTATATATGGATTAGTAGTACTCCATTTTCGGCCGGATTATATATGGATTAGTAAGTACTCATTTTCGGCCGGATTATATATGTATTAGTAGTACTCCATTTTCGGCCGGATTATATATGGATTAGTAGTACTCCATTTTCGACCGGATCTGTTCATGTCTGGCCGCTAGTTAGTCGTGATATGTATTAAATCTGGCAGTCGATCTTGATGGTTTTACTGAGTGAGTGGACAGTTTATCTTAAGTCCCGAGAGGCGCTCAAGGCACGGGATGGGGATAGTTCGGAGTCCGATCGGAGACGATGTCATGCCAATAGTTTGTTTTTCGAGGCATTGAATGTGACTAACCAGTCACCCTCACCCACTGAGCTGTTAGAGTTAGATCAGATGAGAGATCAGCTGCCAATTTCTGATCATATCGAGGTTGGAGGTGCACCGATATACCGTTGTCTTATCAGTAGGGATATTCCCAAATGGTCGGAGTAGACTCTTAAGCAGATCATTTCTGTAAAGTAGAAAGATGTTTGGGCTTAGATGCAACCCTAAGAGAAACCTGCCTTGATCGCTTGGGCTTGGGTTAACAACTACCTTCAGGGTCATACCCGTTGGGAAGGGATTTAAAAAAAATTAGAGGACTCTTCCAGTGTTTCCATTGCTGGAGAGCTTGTGAAGTAATCCTTTATGTCTCACCTTATCAAAGGCATTTAAGGACGCCAGAAGATGGAGATAATGCCACTAAGACGCAAGGGTTATTGGGAGTGAAAGAGAATTAGAAGACTTCAGTGAGGAGAAAAGACAATAAAAGAACAGTTTCAGGAAGACAGAAGATGGCGATAATGCCACTAAGACGCAAGGGGTTACTGGGAGTGAAAGAGAATGAGAAGACTTTAGTGAGGAGAAAGGACAATAAAAGAACAGGTTACAGGAAGACAGAAGATGGAGATAATGCCACTAAGACGCAAGGTGTTACTGGGAGTGAAAGAGAATGAGAAGACTTTAATGAGGAGAAAGGACAATAAAAGAACAGGTTACAGGAAGACAGAAGATGGAGATTATGCCACTAAGACGCAAGGTGTTACTGGGAGTGAAAGAGAATGAGAAGACTTTAATGAGGAGAAAGGACAATAAAAGAACAGGTTACAGGAAGACAGAAGATGGAGATAATGCCACTAAGACGCAAGGTGTTACTGGGAGTGAAAGAGAATGAGAAGACTTTAGTGAGGAGAAAGGTCAATAAAAGAACAGGTTTCAGGAAGACAGAAGATAGCGATAATGCCACTAAGACGCAAGGGGTTACTGGGAGTGAAAGAGAATGAGAAGACTTTAGTGAGGAGAAAGGACAATAAAAGAACAGGTTTCAGGAAGACAGAAGATGGAGATAATGCCACTAAGACGCAAGGTGTTACTGGGAGTGAAAGAGAATGAGAAGACTTTAGTGAGGAGAAAGGACAATAAAAGAACAGGTTTCAGGAATGCAGAAAAAAAGGCGATGGCCGTTGCATTTAAATCTTTGACGTTTTTAGTTGGCAGGGAAGCAAAAAAAATTGAAAGAAAGTTCGACAGGCAAGAAAAGAAATTATTGGAATAGAAGAGATGATTACATGTATCTAGTTCAAGTGTAAAATGGTGAGCCCTATTTGCCAATCTAGTAACACACTGAAATTATCTACTGTGAATTTGTCAGGATCAATGACCTTCTTAGGGTCATGTCTTTAGATAAATCATTAGACTACCTGGGCGGTAATAAATATACGACTGAGATCGTGGTCAGAAAAGTATCAATAAAAGAACAATGTAATATAATTAAGAACATACACACACACATATATATATATATATCTGTGTATTTATATATATATATATATATATATATACACAAACACACACATATATATATATGTGTGTGTTATTATATATATATATATATGTAACACACACACACACACACACACACACACACACACACACACGGTTATATATATATATATATATATATATATATATGCAAATTCTTCATTAAAGCATGTCACTTTTGAATAATGTAGACATATGTCTATTTTATTTTATTCTCTTCCTCTCAAATTCACGGATCAATTTCTTAATCCTGTTATTAAAACACATTAAGGGAGAATAGAAGTTTTTTTATTTCTTTTATTTTCCCAAGTACTTCCAATCTTCAGGAGTGAATTCCTAAGATAAAATATCAATGTAATTGATAGTTCTGATTTTTTTTTTGTTTAGTAAATGTGTATGAAATGTATTATTAATAATTTTAAATACATAGGCTTCAATTTGAAAAAACAAAACAAAACATTTTTCTAATTCGAGTATCACAAAATATTGCTTTTATATGCATTTGAAAACATTGTTGCTATACTCATAATTAATCATATTTTGTTTTGGTTATATATATATATATATATATATATATATATAATCCTCCTTCACTGTGTCTGATGAAGGTATAATCCTCGGATACTGGACGCCAAAATTGTTTTGCAGGAATGATGACTCGTTTGATTCGACTTGCTCAAAATAAAACAAACAAAATAGGCCCGATGCCCGGCACTCAGGCTCAGCGTCTTGGCGCCTTTTCAAGTTGGACTATTTCAAATATGAAAGAACGTCGGGACTGAGGTTGAAAACGAGAAAAAGATCAAGTCCTGCTATTTTTAAAAAATGTCCATTTGTTTTGAAGATACATTTTTAGTCGCTAGACGGATTATTTGAGATCATGTACTAAAGTTTCTTTCTCAGTACTCCCACAAATATTTTATAATTATTATTTATGCACTTTAATTATATTTTTTTTATTATTTAAACCAACACCATGAAGTTGCTCCCCTGTTATTTTTTTTATAAATACTTTCAGGGTAATTCTTCGCGGAGAATTACTATTTGGAGTAATTTCAGGAAGATAGAAGATGGCGATCACGCCACTAAGACGTAAAGTGTTACTGGTCGTGAAAGAGAATGAGAAGACATTCGTGAGGAGAAAGGACAATAAAAGAACTGGCTTCAGGAAAAACAGAAGATGGCGATAATGCCACTAAGACGCGTGGGGTTACTGGGAGTGAAAGAGAATGTGAAGACTTTAGTGAGGAGAAAGGACAATAAAAGAACAGGTTTCAGGAAGAGAGAAGATGGCGATAATGCCACTAAGACGCAAAGGGTTACTGGGGACTTTTGAAAGAGAATGAAGACTTTTAGTGAGGAGAAAAGGACAATAAAAGAATAGGTTTTCAGGAAGACAGAAGATGACGATAATGCCACTAAGATGCAAGGGGTTACTGGGAGTGAAAGAGAATGAGAAGACTTTAGACAGGAGAA